TTTTTTTCTTCTTCTTTCTTTAATATAGACCGCTCTGGCTCAGCAGGTTCACAAGCCACTGCTTCTTGTGTCTGTTCCTGTCTGTAAAAGGAGGGTAGTGATCCAGCCATCTAAAATAGTACAGTACTGCAGAACATCTTCATTTTGGTATTCTTTTCTGGTTCTACTGCTTAACTGTTATGCCAAATAGTTGCTCGGCTTTGGTGTTCCACCTACACGTTTTAGCACCCTGATTGCAGGACACCTTAATGATGCCCTGCCATGCAGAAACAAGGTCTCACGCGATGCCTGTGAGTCAGGTAAATATTAGGCCTAAGTTATTAATGTGGAAACAGATACAGAGAGTAGTACAGTGTCGGTCTGGAAATCTATTCAGAGGCAGAAATGCCAACCTTTTTATCTGCTGTTTGCAAGCTTTAATCCAAAACTGTCCTTCCTCAGTTTATGATTTTAAAGTAGTTCACTATTTTGCCTCATTAATGCCTACCCCTAATGGCAGAGGCATTTCATGGATACTTATGTTTGCTCTCAGTGCACAGGAATTATTCGAGAGTTGTACTTTCAGTACAAATGATGCACAGAATGAATCCTGCTGTAAACCAGCCTTTGTTCCAGCTTTTCCAGTGTGGCCTGCACTTCCAGTTGGGAGCTTGATTTCTTTGAACTTGTGGTCCCCACAGTCAGCATAGACAGGTTTTGGTTGGTGTCATGACCCCCCAGTTAGAAACTGGTGTTCTAAAAAGCATTACAAAGTGGTGAGCAAACTGTCTCAATTCCCTGTGATGTAACTGAAAGTGCCATTAGGCCAACGCTCAGGCTCAGACGTGCCTGTCAGAATCTGAGCTTCATGTATTTGAATTGTCCTGCATGAATTCTGCTTCTGTTCCTCAGGATACGAAATGGGGAGTAGAGTTTGTCCTGCATGCTGCTGTTGTGCTGTAGCCATCTTGAAGTGACAAATAAAAATGAGAATCACCTTGGATAACTTGAAGAAGCTGAAGTAATTTAACAATCTCTTTTCTTTGAAGCAAAGGAATTCTGTTCCCCTTATCATCCAGTTAGTTGACATTGTGTCCAAGGTTTCTTCTTCTGCTGTTCCGACAGAGCCTACAAAGTTCCAAAAGCAGAGAATGATTTCTGCCTCTGGCTGAAAATGAAGTTCATTAGCTTGGAAGTGCTGGCTGAGACCTTATTAGGGGGAGGGGAGCTGCTGTTGTATTTTTTGCATCCCTTGTGCCGTTTTGGACTTCAGTGGTATTTATTTTTAGTACGTTTAAACGCTGCAGAAGGAAGGGGCAGTTGTAATATGGCATATTTACATCATGCTGTCAGTTCCTGGCAGCTTAGTCGCCTGTCAGAGAACAGAACTAGTCCATTAAGGATGTGAGTGCTACTTATGCCCACGAGTGGTGAAACATCGTCTCAAGGGTGGGAAGGCCTCCCGAGGCTAGCAGGTTGATTTGTTTTTCTAAGGTGCATTATGGGGATTTTTTTTTCATGTCACAGAGACAGGAATGGCCCATGCTACCTCCCACTTTTTCCTCCTTCTCCTCTACTCTGTATAGGAAAAAAGAGAGGCAAAGTCTCTACATGAGGTCAGCATGTGCTGGTTTTTCCCCTCATGTCACGCTTAAGTTCTCTGCCCCATTATAAAAATAAAAATCTATAAATAAAAAAGAACAAATGCTGAGGGGGACAAACTGGACCCACAGTTATGTGCGTGTCGTCACTTGTAGAAGTGTGCCTAGCCCCATTCCTCCCAGGCTTCATACATTCCCTGTTTCTTATGCTGTCAGCCTCTCAGGATGGGAAACATGCACAGATAGTCCTGGCTGGCTTTTTTTTTGTCCTGCCATAACTTAATTTATTGAGCATAACTTAATTAATTGAGCTAAGGCTGAAATGGTGTTGGGTTCATTTGCCGTTGAATTAGCTCATGCTCCATTTATATATATTTTTTTCCACTTTGGTTGGAGAAAAAAAACCCCACAACTTGTTATGGGTTTTGCTGCCACACTTCAGTGTTGCAGTGATACCTTTCTCCTGGAATTGAGCAGTATTTAGGTCTGATCTCTCACATATGACATGCTGTCTCTGTTAGCTTCAAGCATAGGCACCCTATGATTTCCCTTTCTTGGAAACTGCTCTGTCTCAGCCTGTGGGTAGGAGGCCGTGTAAATAAATACCAACCACTTCTTAGCCTTCAGTAGGCATTTCCTTTTTCCTGGTGGCTACAGAAGAAACACTTTCTCACAGTTTGGCATCAAACATTTATAAAACTTTCCTGCTTGTGGAATTTTTGTTTAGACAATCAGATTCTTCGTATGGTTTTTTCATCAGTTTCTATTTTTACTCCTCTGTGGTTACTTGGTTTGTCAGTAAATAGTGTCTGTCAGAACAAACACTTCATCATAAAGTTCTTAGATTTCTGGTAATTGAATAGTAAATCATTATAAGCACATTCTGTAATAGTGAAAGGTAAGTTTTAAAGACTAAAAATTAAGTTCATCTAGGTTTTTTTCTTAGTTATGATGGAATAAATAACATTGATATTTCTGCCCAAAAGTTTTTTTTTTTTTTTTAATATATTACCTGTCTTAAATGTTTGAAATAGAAATCAAAGTATCTTACATTACCATGCAGTCCAGCTTTCAACTGAAAAAAATTCTTTGCCTTTAATACAACGTTTAATATGTGTTCTCCTGAATTTATAATGCTAGGATATTTTTCAGTGTGTGTCACTTTGTCATTGCAGCAAAGCTAACACATTGTTACCTTTTAAATGCTACCAGAACTATTTAGGACATAAGTTTATAATATCAAAACAGATCATATCAATAAAAATCAATATTAGAGGACAGTGTACTTCTAATTTTTATACATAAATACCTGATCTATAAGTTCTTTATTTGGTTTCATTTACTATTATTAATTTACTTTTTTATTGGTAAATTATGAATTTACTTTGACTAGTTTTATTTATCTCGGTGGTAATACTTACTGAATGGATGACAGTATACTCTCCCTTCAGGGAGGGCCCCAAAGCTTCCGAGAGTGTATATTCTCTGGAAGCATAATATAGATATGAACTGTGATAAATAGCTATAGACTAGCACAGAACTAGACTCCTTCATCAGAATTCCTGTTAGATGAGAGAGTGAAGAATATATGTATGTCTGAGCTTTTGTGGGTAATAATTTCTAGGATGGCCTAAGCTAGAGGCAGTTTGAAAATCCATCAGATACTTCTTATGTAATACTCCCACACTGGATTTAATAACTTTTTTATTCAACAAAACAAGACAGTAGAAACCATGCTTTTCCAGAAGGGCCTTTGAAATATGCTCTTTCCTCTACTGAGGCTGGGTATGAAGCTGTCTAGGAAAGTGAGCCATTGTTGGACACATCACTGTATTTTTATGGTTTCACTCTTAGGTACATTCTTATCCAGCTTAGTTTTGAAATCTGATGAAGCTTAGCCAAGTTGAATTGCATCTGCCTTCACAGTACACACATAGTCTAGCTAGGACTTCTTCCAGTTCTGTGCAGTGGAAGTTACTTTTGTGTATTTCTTCTGGGAAATATGTATTGAGAAAAATGAGTCCTAGTTTTGGTTTGTCCCTTTTTCCCTATTTTGTGGCATACAATAAACGACTACCACATGCATATTTCTTACTTTAGCTAACCACCATAAGTAATGTCCCAGTTCACAATTCTCCAGCAAGTGCAACGGGTGCTAGGCTTTACAGCTAGTTCTGAGGATGGCTAGGCAGAGACTAGTCAGTCTTGCTTCATGTTGTCAGATAAGGGACTGTGAAAGAATCCTAAGCTTTCCAACTTTGGTGATTTATTGAACTTCTGTAGAGTCATTGGGTAGCCAAATGCACGAGAACCCCATTTGGTATCCGCTGCACAAATTCCAGGGCATAAATCCTCTCCCTACTGCATTGCTGCTGTGGTAATGGCACCAGCCTTAACAGTACCTTAATGGCCTTTGAAAGTTGTTAAATTCTGTACTGGGTTAGTACCCTTGTCAGCAATTTTATCGTGATGCGCAAAACCAGAATGGGGGTATGAGGATGCAAGTGTTGCCCCTCTTGTCTTTGGATCGCTTCTACTTGGCATCAGGTGTATTTGCAAAGCAAAATGGAGACGTTTGCCCTAGTTTGTCCATCAGTGCGAGGACTTGAAGGAAGTTTAACACAATGGGAACAGCTAGTAATCTTAGGGCTTTTTTGTTCTGACATCATAAAGTAGCTTGCGAGTGTTACTAGTCCTTAATTTGGAGTGACAGGAAGCAAGAAACCTAGAAAAGGTGACGTTATAGTGATTGTGCTGTAAATGAGAGTTGTGATGAAAATGCAAAAGGAGTTGGCTACAGCAAGAGTGAATAGATCA